ATGAAATAGCGCGATTTTGTCCTCGGAAGCAATCTGAATCAATCCAATCTTGTTTTGTAAATCATCTTTTTTCCAATCATTCCATGGCCACTCCATATCAAATCCGATGACTGGCTCATCAAGGAATTGCTTCGCGTATGTTTCGGATTGCGCTTTGGTCTTGCTATATAGGATCTCGACTTCTTTGCCTCCAGGGCCTCGGTAGAGACGATGACTCCACCATCGTTTGGGTGCAGCTTGAGTAGACGAGAAGCCATAAGACTGAAGTGACGAGGCTTTGGGCTTTTGTGGTTGCATACGGTACGAGAGTGGCCAATGTACCTTTGGTGTTTCGGTGGTGACCTTTGAAGGTACAACATCATGAGCGGAGCTTGCCATTAAAGATATGCAGTTCCAATAAAGACACCGTCCAGACCTAATCATCGACAAGCAATGGTTGAAGGCATATGAGATGGTCGATCGCGCGGCATCCATGCCATGTGGCGATCGACGCTAATGAGCTGGAGCACAGACTGTCTTTTACGCGTGTTCACGTGTGACGATTCTAGCGTGTTTTGCAAGCTCCCCACTGCATCTGCTGCGTGAGGCTGCTTCTTCTCCACCCATCAATGCTACGTCACATCCTGTCTGAGATCGCCGTTGTGATCCACTGAATCTGAGAAGCTTCCCAGACACGTCTATGTCCGCCTCTGCGCTCCGTTTTCGGAGGTTGACACCTTGGCGAAACGTTGACAGCTCTGCAGAAGAATCCCACTGCGTCACCATCACCAGTACTCTGTCCGTGACTCGACGCGCGATCTAAGGCTACAGATTGTTCTCACGAAGTGCACCCTTGATCCTGATTCGATGTGATCGCGGACGGTACTCGCACAAGGCGCCATTCGGACACGCTTTGGAGACCCGACAACAATCAACGAAGAGAGGCCGTGGCACAAGATTGGCATATACTGATCACACTGGAGGCCTTCTTGCCGCTACTCTCTGGTTGCCTTCAGATGTAATTCCCGATAGAAAAAAATCTAGGTAGTCAACCAAAACTTACGATCCTGGTTTTGCTTTAGGCATTGTGGACATGGTTGTTGCCAAGCTGTGACAGCTGAGCTCTCACGCAGTTCCCGTTTCATACACATGCGGAACACCCTACGTAAGCACGATATCTACAATCAGCGCTAAGCGGACTGCGACATACTATGCTACGGCTTCAGGAACTATGCCTGGGAGACGCGTACTTCAATGAACATGGTATATGTAGGCTGACAGCCTCACTTCGGGCCGCCTCTATAATCTACTGTTATCCCCATTTTACATTCGTACTTCTGCAAGTACTAGTTTGCAAACAATAATCACCCGTCATGTATTTCTCCACATCAGTACTCGTAGCCGGATTGGTCAGTCTTGCGCAGGCGCAGGTCCCATCTGGCTTTACGCCATCGGCTGCCACCAAACTCGAAGTCATCTTCAACTCAACTATGGTCAACACGGCAGGACAGCAATTAGCAAAAGCTTGTGAGTTTCGAACTGAGTCCGTTAGGCAAGACATCATTCCTGACCTGTTTAGCTGTCGCGACACAACCACAACTTGCATTATCCAGCGCTATGATCGACTCAAGCCAGACATACATGTTTGTGATGCTCGACCTTGATGTTCCACCAGCGAACGGGAGCACCGAGCGACGCGTGTTATTGCACTGCATGAACACTGGATTCAAGGCAACAAAGCAACAACTTATGGGCGCTGCCACTCTGCTCGCGTCATCAGAAAAGGGCCCAGCAGCGTATATTCCTCCAGGTCCTCCAGCGACCGATACAGTCGCGCATCGATACGTACAGCTGCTTTTCCAGCAACCAGCCAGTCTCAACATTCAGGCGTCGGCATTCGCTGGAGGACAAGCTCGGATAGGTTTCGATATCGAATCGTTCATGTCGATGAACGGCGTGAGCGCGCCAGTCGCAGGAAACTTCTTTCGTGTAGATGGAAGGATAGCTGCAACCGCCAGTGGAACTGCTGGTGCTGCGGGCGCGTCGGGCACTGGTGCCATGCCAACCGGTACACCACAGCCTTTCACTGGTGCAGCTGGCGAAGTCAGTGCACCATACGGGACGGCTGGTCTGCTTAGTGGCATAGCTCTTTTCGCGCTGCTAGTACTATAAAAGGTCATCCTGTAAATTTAATGAATGTTACGACTTGATGAACCAGAGTTCAATGACAAGATCACGTGTATCCATGGGGTGACGGTACCAAGTATACGGCTACACTTCAGCACCTTTGTTATCACTGGAGTACGCGAAACCTAGAGCCCAACGAGATTCAATGCCGGCGACTGCAGCGAAAGTGACCATACTATTGGGCTTTTTATACGATACATGAAGCGCGTTTGCGAAGGTCTGATTCTAACTCACCGCCTTATCGGCGTTTACAATATTATAGTACTTGTTACTACTTCTGACGCGCAAACGCTTACCGTACTTGATCATGACAAGAAAGACAGCGGACGCAGCCATGCCAACGAAAGCTGCAGAAATGCTGAAGATAGGTTTATAACGTCAGTGTATGTCTTACATGCAGTTTGTATAGAGATACTTACAAGCAGTTCTGATACCCGAGATTTGTCAGCCATGGAGTAATACTGTCTCTCGTTAGCTTCGAACCTTCAGATGCACTGGAGAACTTACCCGTAACTTATGGCGAAGGACATGGTATTGCGAATCAAGATGACCGTCACAATCGCATCGCCACTGATATCGTGATAACTATCGATCATGTAGTTCACACTGATCGTAACGCCGACAGAAGAGGTGAACGCCACACATCCCATGGCAAAGACGAGTCCGAACCAGTGTACGCCATGCGCAGCGCCAACACCCCAGAGTATCAAGAATGCCGGAACCATTACTAGGCACACTGCGAAAGGCCATAGACGGTGCTCCGCTTCCATGACACCATTGTTTCTACGCGCTAATTTGATCGTCAGCCAGTCGCTGAAGCGCCCAGAGAACAGTGCTCCGGCAATGACTCCGATGCAACAAGACACATAACTTAGACCGACCATGGAGGGCTTGAAGTTGTATCCTGGCCCACCAAGAATGATGGAAGCAGTGGCGTTCAAGACGTTAAACCAAATGAGGTATGAACCATAGCTGAAACCTGAGTAGAAGATAACAGGCCAGCTAATGTATATCAGACTACGCTTCGCACGCTCGAAGACGTTTGCTCCTGGAGATGTCTGCCATAGAGATAGCTTTTGAGCGAAAGTCTTGGATGACACTCGCATGTCATCGCTCATAGTGGATGGCGATGTCGTTACGTCGGCTTTCTCCTGGTCCAAAACCTTGGATGATTCCATCTCTGGAGAGTCTCTAGCGACAGGTATCCCCTCGATCTTGCGCGTATAGTTTGTCTCTTCCATGCAAAAAAACAAGAGGACTAACGTTACGGCGAGGAAGATTGCCGGCCAATAGAACACCCATTGCCAGCCTTGACCTTCTGCGATGAAGCCGGAGATGATAGGGGCAAAGTAGTTGCTTCCCGCTAGGGAGAAAGCGTAGAAGCCCATGTATTTTCCTCGCTGGTGGGTGAAGTATACGTCGGTTACTGAGATTTCGGGAAGAGCTTCTACTGGTGCGACGAAGAATCCCATAACGATGCATCTGGCTATCCACTCGCCATTGCTTTTGACGTACGCACTATGGGGGTCAGCTTATGAACAAGTTCTTGCACAGACATGAGATATACCTCCAAATACTACATCCAATGGCTCCAACGACTGATATTAGGAACGTAAGACGTTTCCCATATCGAAGCGCAAAAGGTTGCCAAAAGAGCAGTCCCCAACCAAGAAAGAGGAACATGTATCCGGTCCCTTCGTTCAAAGTTGATACGGAAACGCCTGATGCTTGAGATAATGGTACTAACACCGAGTATACAGTAGACACCGCGATGCCTGTCATCCACGTATACCTTCGCATCGAATCAGCCGTATCCTCGATAAGTGGCAGTGAACACTCACAAATTGGTACATAATGAAGATGTGAGCTTGCGGCGTGGCGACCAGTTGAGCGGATCATCAGGGTCACTCGATGGCGCTGGATCGAGGATGATGTCTCCATTGCCAGCATGACGAGCGTGTATACTATGGTCTAAATCGACCAAATGTACAGTACCTGGCACAGAAGCCATTTCGGTCGAATCTGCCACAATTGTCATCGCGGTGGCTACGTACTGGGTTTCGGCGATGGATAAGAATGTGTCACGAATGATAAAGTCCCAAAAAACGGCTGTCTCAAAAGCGTAGTACAAGAGTGGGGTGGCATGCATATAGACCCAGGAGCGGTAGGTTTACCAGGTACCCTGCGTCACTCCAACTTGGAGCTCGTTCTATAAAGCCCACATCTTCCTTATCATCATCCTTCCCATTTGCAGCTCATTCTGTTCAAGATGTTCGATAGTGAACCATGGAGATGGCCACTCAAGAGTCCCGCTCAGAGCTGCCTATCTCCGTGTCTACGTAGGTACCCATCGGCTTCCGCAATACAGCAAGTCCACGCGAAGGGACCAGGAGCCGTGACACCAAATCCAACGCGGGGAAACGTTCGCTTGATAGGCAGTGGAGTCGGTGCGCTCATTGGGAGATAAGCGGATAATTGGAGTCGTTGGAGCTGGATGCAGTAAAGGGTCGTCCGCTAGCTGCAGCGGGACCATTTGGGATGACGCGCTAAGGGCCGCTGGTCGGATTGGTTCCGCACTTCCAACACCAACCACCCCCTTATCAGCTTGATCGCACTACCATTGCTGCCGTCCATTGTCGTTCCGGAATCTTTCCGAGGACGGAGTCAACGGGATGTTGCGTGGAGTTATAAGAAAGAACGTTTCTGTCTTAGGCTTGGCCCCAGCAATGACGACAACGGCGCATGTGCAGATAAGACCGCCGTGATGGTTCCCAAAACTGACGATGTTGGATCACATCTGCGTTTGATATCCCTATCACTCTCCCAACATCATAATGGCGATTCATCCCTCCGAACTAGCTATAGTTCAGCGTAAGGCTGTTCCCAAAGGTACACCAGATTACGAAAAGAAACGAGCATCAATCCTCGAAGCTTTTGCGGCAAAAGTGCCTCCTGAACTACGCCTATCTCCAAAAATTACTGCCGATCCACCAAAGAATGTGTCTGAAATACCAATCACCTGCGGCATACTTACACCCGCCGAGATCAACATCACCGAAAAGTACGATGCAGTAGGCCTTGCTGAAGCCATCGCCGCACGCAAGTTGTCAGCAGTCGAAGTAGCCATCGCATTTTCAAAACGTGCTATTATCGCACACCAAATGACATGCTGCTTGACTCAATGGTTTATGGATGATGCGATCAAGAGGGCACAAGAGCTGGACCATTATCTAGAAAAGAACGGAAAAACAATCGGCCCACTTCATGGAGTTCCTATCAGCATCAAGGAACATATGCCCATTGCTGGAACCTACTCATCCCAAGGCTCCTTGGCGAGTACCGTCTTGGACGAGAAAGATTGCCTGTTGGTGTCAATGCTAAGAAGTATGGGCGCGGTATTCTACTGCAAGACCAACCAGCCTCAAACAATCATGCATCTGGAAACGACATCTCATTACGGCCGATCGCTGTGCCCTTTCAACATTGATCTCAGCGCAGGCGGCTCATCTGGTGGCGAGGCTGCACTTGTTGCAATGAAAGGCTCAGTTCTTGGTGTAGGCACGGACATTGGCGGCAGTATTAGAGGCCCTGCTGCTTTCTGCGGCATATATGGTTACAAGTCGACATCTTACATGTTGCCGATGAAAGATTTCCTCGGACATGCATTTTCTGCAGAACTCAATATTTTGTGTAGGCAAGTGCGCCTGTACGAATTGCACGTGAAACAAACACTGACTTCATTTACCTACATATAGCACTGGTCCGTTTTGTCGGAGCTTGCGAGACATGGACCTTTTCATGACGACTGTTTTGGGCCAGAAACCGTACTTGATGGATCCCAAGGTAGTGCCACTTCCTTGGACGGGACTAACGACTAAGACGAGGAAACCATTGAGAATCGGTGTCATCGAGAACGACGGCTTCGTTGATCCTCAGCCACCAGTAAAGCGCGCTCTAACATGGGCTCGTGAGCGTCTCTCCGACCCTCAACATTCGGATATTGTCCAAGTGAAGCCGTTCAAGCCGTATAAGGCACAAGAAGCATGGAAACAGATCCGACGTATGTACTGGCCAGGTGGCGGCAAACTAGCCAAAGAGGATATTATGTCAACAGGCGAGCCAGTCCTACCACTGAGCGACTGGATATGGAAAGACGCCGAACCTCACGGTATGCTGCATGCGGAAGAGGTCAACGAGCTACGTGCCGCTCGCGACAAGTTCCGTTATGAGTTTGCCGACAGCTGGAACGAGCAAGAAGTCGACATTGTCATCGGCCCTGCGTTTGTTGGGCCTGCCTCTGCGCATGACACAGCGTTCTACTGGACATATACAAGCTTGTACAACTTTGTCGATTACCCTGGGGTTGTTGTGCCCACGCCAATCAAAGCTAAGAACAAGGAGAATTATGCCGCGGACTACAAACCATTAAGCGATGAGTGCAGGCATACCAGAGAGCTGTGGGAGAGATCAGATTTTGAGGGGGCGCCAATCAATCTCCAGGTCAACGCCAGAAGGTACCACGACAACGACTTGTTTGGGGCACTGGCGGTCTTGAAGGATATCTTAGATCTTCCTTAGTGTGCGGAGCGTGGCCCTGTTTTTTTAATCCTATCGCACTTCTGTTTACTATACGCGTATATACGCTTTGTACCCAGTTTTATTGCTGCTGCCGTGAGAAGCTGCCATGCTGTATAGTGCAAAGTTTTGAATCACAATCGACGCTAGTTGGTGGTAATACAAGTCTCTGGAGTGCTTGGACAAGCGGGTCTGTTAGACATTGGTAGAGATGCAAGATGCGATGCAAGGGTTGGTGATGGAGAATGAGAAATGCGGTACAGGAACAGCCGAGGTGGCCGGAAACAGACATAATAGTGCAGGGATGTCGCGTTGGAAGAAGCATGACGGAATGAGCCGTTGCTCCCACATCAATCATCAAGACTGGTGAGCGCATTGCCCACCTTCCAACATCAACGAATCGCTCCGCTACGCGATGTCGCCCCCATAACGCGTATCTGCGCTCAAACTGCGCACCATGGATCAAGCCCGTATTTCGGAGCTCAGTCCAGAGCTGCCCGCGATGGAATCGAAGCATTTCCGAGCGACAGCAACGTTAATATGGCCGTATTCGTCATCAGCGCGACAGTTTGCCTTGTTGCTTGCTGAGCCCGATGTCCGATTACGACGCAAGAATGGACAGGTCAGAGCGCGCTTCTCCGGAGCCAGCGCAAAGGCCGTTGCGACAACAGGTGTGGGGATTGGAGACGAGGTGGTGCTGAGCCTACGAGGCGCTGAGTTCGTCAAGGAAGGCGCCGTCAGCACCCCAGGCAAGAGCATCGAATGGGAGCTATCATACCTACACACAGTCACGATGCGCGTCTACCGCAACGGAGTCGAAACTGCAAGCCTCGACCTCGTCCATGTCGCGCCTTCGCCTGTCTCGGCATCGCCTGCTCGCCGGCCGTCTACAGCCAGTCCGGCGTCCGCGCTTCAATTCTCCTCTCCTGCCTTTCTCAAGCGCGCGCGATTATCCGACGGTCCGTCCTTCCAAGCGCCCTATGATCCTCTGGCGGATGAGACGGAAGAGGGCCATGACAAGAAGCGACGTAGGAAATCGTACCGGGATTGGAAGGCCTGGACATACAGCACAAGGACACCGTCGCCAGAGAAGGAAGACGTGACTATGGAGGATGAGCTCGAGTCGGCTGAAGCGTCACCTAGTCGGACAGGGCGGCTTCCTCGCACTCCTGTCTCGCCTCAACAATCAGAGATGCTGTCGGTCGCAGCCGGGCCCTTGCAGGCACACCAAGACGAACCAACTGAACCTGATACTCCAACGGACACCGACAACTACGACTTCTACGCTGCGCCCAACGAGCATCCAGCGTCGGATGCACAATATGCTTTTGGAGGCGACACTGAGATTGACACCGAAGTCAATACCGAAGAAGAAGGCGCTACGCATGGCGAGCTCAATGCACATGATACGAGCGCCACAGAAGCAGACACCGACGAGCTAAATCCTGTACAACTGGAGCGCGTCGAAGAAAACGTGGTCGAGATTGGGGCGATTGCAAGTGCACACAGTCATGTCAAGAATGAGCTTGCGATAGCGATGCCTCCCCCCACATCATCCACCTTTCCATCTGTCACTGCAGGCTTGTTGACCCCTATCGGTCGAGAGCCTGCAAGCCCAAAGCTTGTGCCACAAGACGCTTCCAACCTCCCCATGCCATCACCATTCCCAGGAGACCAGGATGCAATTGCTACTTCCTATTTCAGCCATACCGCTACTGGCGAGCAGCCGCTGGGTGACGATGCTGTGGTCGAGGATGGGCAAGATTTACCGAGTGAAGCAAGCTACATCGGTGAGACGTCCTTCTTTAGCTCAGTAGGCTCATCGAGAGCTTCAGTATTCCACCCAAACCATGAGTCAGCCTTCACACCTGTGCGCTTCACATTTGGCATGGACGGTGCTGGCTTCTCACGTCTCATGGATCTATCGTCGCCTCCAGCAGAAGCGCGAGTGATCGAAGAGCAACCTTCGAAAACTGAGGCAGGAGACATGTCCAAGTTGCGCCAGAGTATACCCGAGAGCGAGCCAGATGAAGTTGTCGAGGATTCGACTACCGCGGACTCCCGAATCGCTGTGGATGGACCAGGCGAGCTGGAAGTGGTAGAACCTTCATCCAGGGACGAAGAAGATGGTGTGAGTGAGACAGAGATGGACTCGGTGACAGCTGAACATTCGATGCATTCGATTTCTGCTGAACAGCCTGAAGAAGGTCCCAGCACAGCGGACGACTTACAATCTAGGAGTGAGGCCCTTGAGGAAACTGATCGTCAAGAATTAGCCACGAGCAAGCTAAATTCAACAGCCACGTCAGCCATCGTTGATCTAGGCCCTCCCTCGGATGACGACGAAGTCGAGCCCAGCCACGAACAGCAGCAGCTTCAGCCTAGCCAGCGCACCTCCACTACTCAGGACCAGTCCCCTACCATAGATGTTGATAGTCATAGTGAGTTTGTAGACCTGGATCTTTCGACCGAAGATGCACAGACCCTTGAAACGACAGTGGGGCAAACAGTCACTCACACTCCATCTCAGGAACCAGAACCTGATGTCGTATCACGTCATATGGAGGAAGTCTTGTCTCCTAATGGTCACCCACCTGGATCAATCTTCGAGGCTACTGATGATTACTTGCAAGATGCTTTCCCAATGGAGCATTCATCGTTTGTCCAGGAACATGAGCAGGTAGCTGGTCTTGGGGATAATCACCAGTCAGACATCAAAGTGGAGTCAATAGAAGAGGTCTCGATATCACAGACAAACGAATTCAATACTCACTTGGGACATGAAAACAGCGCACATGCAGCTACTGAGTCTGCGAGCCAACGGTATTCCACGGCGCCTGAGGACGATCAGAAACCAGGAAGCATGGATATGTTACCAGAATCGCCTGCAAAGAATACCAGGTCGGAAGCAAGGACTGCAGCTTCGCCAAAGAAAGACGAAGCATCCATCTCCATGTCCAATACACAACCCAAGGGATCTTTGACCTCTATTGCACATTCAGCTGTTTCACCGCCTAGGAAACGCGCTCGTTCTGCCTTGTCCCCATCGCAGGAGTCTACTCAGACGTCTCCCTACAGTCTTCGCTCACAATCGAGGCAGTTTTCCCCAGCAGAGAGCTTTTCGGCCGATGTTACTGCTACCCGAAAAGGGCTGCCCAAAAATGCTTCGCAAAGTAGTATGAATTCGGTGTTCAATATTGGAACCTTACAAACCCAGGACCATGATCAGTCTGTCTCCAGCTTCCAGCCGTCGCAAGAGTTAGGCGCATCACAGGGCAGATACTCTGATGTGGCTTTCGTGAAAGATTCCGAAGAAGAAAGCGTTCGGTCTGAGCACACTATATCTACTGTGCATCCCTCCGATGATATGGGACACATGCACCACAGCGACCCTATCGACCATGCTGTCGATCGTGCTGCCAATGTTCGGGAAGACGAAGAGGACACAAAGCCGCCACCCGCAACCGCGCCCGAGCTAAGAAGATCAAGCCGAAAGACAAAAGGGAAGAAATCGGACTCACAAGTGATTGCAGAGGTACGTAGTAATAGTCCTGCTCGACCTGGCTCTTCACATGCTACTCAGTCGTTGCATAGCAGTCCAGGCATGCAACGACGCGAAGCACGATCACAGGAAAACATAACTCCCAGTCCGCGCAATGTGCGGAGAACGAGGAGAAGAGTATATGAGTCCGATGAGTTTGCAACACCAAACGCCAGCCAGAAAGCGGACGAGCAGATCTCATTTGGTGAAGGTGAAGACAACCAAGGCACCGTTGATGTCGATGACTTTGTGCGCAATTCACCACCTGGATCTCCTACCATCGATCAACGAACCAAAAGACATAGCAAAAAGCCTATTACTCCAAGTGCAACACAACAAACAGCCAAGGATTCGCAACCCAGTTTCAACGACCACCAAGAACAGGATACGTTGTTGACACCTCAGCTTACGCAAACCACATCTGTAGATCTTCGTTCCTTCGAAGCTGGTAATGTGGCCAATACAGAAGCCATTGCCGCGTCAATCAATCCCGAAACTACTGCCATATCCCCACAACTTATTGATGCATCCTCAGACGACGCCGACAACGACACACTCGGAGAACCATCAGTCGGCCTGTCTACGCCACTAGCTTACTACACCCCTCTCAAGGATCTCCTATACTTCCTTAACCGCTCCTCTCAATTCTACTCGGCTGCCAATCCTGATATAATCGCGCTCGTCACGTCTCCTACCACGCCAAGCGAAAAAGCCAAAAAGGGACCGAAACATTGGTTCACTACCCTGCAAATCACCGATGCTAGCTCTTGGCCTCAAACAACCACCGTACAGATCTTTCGCGCTCATCAGACTGCACTTCCAGAAGCACAGGTTGGCGATGTAATTCTACTCCGCGCATTTGCTGTCAAGTCGTTGAACAGGCATCCCACGCTCACTAGTGCAGATGAAAGCGCGTGGTGTGTGTGGCGCTGGGACAGACCCATCTGGGGCGTAAAGAGGGGTGCATTTGGCGAATTAAGAGCGAGGGAGGAGACTAAAGGGCCGGCTGTCGAGAGAGGAGAAGGGGAATGGCGCGAGGTGGAGAAGTTGAGGAAATGGTATGCAGCAAAGGTACAGAGCGACTTGGTGGAGAAAGAAGAGGGGAAGGTCAAGACGAGGAGTAAGGACAAGGGGAAGGCGGCGGCAGATGTAGATGCATGAGTGGTATCACGTGCTGTACGGCGTTGACAAAGGATGTCTTCGGACAGGGACTGCCATGGGCATTGGCGCATGCATATTGTGCTATATCGAAGCATTGTATGAGCTGGCAGAGGTGTGGTCAGACGATGGCTGCACGTGTTGTCAGGGCGACATCACTCTTGCACCCGAGAACGAATATAGAGATCATTCATGTGTCTCATTGGTTTCTACCATATTCCTTTTCATGTGATCGTATCTTCATAGCCCACACCTAAACCTTGAAGCCGGAGACAGCCTTTCGCCAGACGAATTCGTAACTACT